TATTATAAAATCTCTTAGTCCTCCCTCAGCTATCATTTTCCTTACTAAATAGTGCACCAATGGCCCACAGTTTGAACATTAACAGCACATTTGTTAATGAACAGTAATTCAGGCAGGAAGTCAGAAGACTCAAAATATTTCTATGATACTGCTATAGATAAAGGGTGGATATTGAAAGCTCTGCCAGAGCTGTCTCTGAGTTAAGACAAGGCTAATTGAAAGGAAGAGGCACTAGTATGCAAATACTATGCTGGTTTCCCTTAAAACCCAGCACACGTGGATCTCCTTTATCTCACTAAGTCAACTGGGGGCCTTGGATTTTTCACCACTTCAGGAACCATGATGAAGGGTAACCTGCCATGTATTAGTCTAATCCTAGATTACAATTGAAATCAATGAAATCATGGAACTATCAGAAATGGCATTAATGCCAGAAACTAATTCAGTCAATCTAATCCAGCTGATCTCTTACAGCAGGGGTGGGGAACCTTTTTTTCTGCCAAGGGCCATTTGGATATTTATAACATCATTCGTGGGCCATACAAAATTATCAACTTAAAAATAAGTTATGATAAAAGCTCCTAGATTTATTGAATTTTGAGTCCCAACTGCAGTTGCCTTGGCAGGGCCAGACCAAATGATTTCATGGGCTGTCTATGCCCACAGACCAGATGTTCCCCAACTCTTTTCCAGACCATGAACTAGGACAAGTCATGGTTATTATGTATTGGTGAGTCCCCAACCCTTAATGTAATTCCAGGCACATAGTAGGTGCTTAATACATGCTCAGTGATTGATTGAATGTCTAGGGTCTAGAATATCTGTACTATAGCTTCAAGTGGACAGCCCAGCTTTAGAAGACAGTTGTATGGATATTGTTTTGTTTTCTGTTTTTGTTTTGTTTTGGTAACATGCTATCTCCTCTTTAAGTGAATAGCGAGGGTTTTGTTGAAAGTTTTGGGGAAAAATGAAGGGATGAACAGAGACAGGAAGGAGGTAAAGAGATAAGGAATATTCTGTTTTAATATTTTTTAAAAAACACATGTCATCTCCCTGGGAGTATTTGTTTGTTGGAGGCAGTCCTGGTCATAGCTTATAGCATGCAGTAGGAAACAGGAGTGCCCTGTCAAGTACCTTCCTTACCACAGGAACTCCATCAAATCTCCTAGGTCAGGAGCATTATCTGCTTCCACTCCCTACTCCAAGACTCAGGCTTTTCTTACAGCCAAGGACCCTATGAGGTTATGAGCACATTATAACCAGGGTCATGCGGAGACAATGTCCTGCCTTCTCCGGCAGGGCATGTTGCCCATCTTCTGAGTGCAAGTCCTCCCTCCTGTGGGAAGTCTTCCTGAGAAAAGCCCACCAATTGTGATGCCTCCTGACTCTGCTGAAGAATTCAGGGAGTCAGTATATGAGAGTGTAGAGGTGGAATGTTTTTATTGTCATTGTCCTCCAGTGAAAGACCACAGGAACATGCTTGTAGTTGAACAAGTTGGGTTTATTACTTATTGAAGTTTGGGAGAACATACACCATGGGGAACCATGGTGTCTCAGTAAGAGGTCTCAGAAAGAAACTATTATAGGATTTGGGTTTTGGTTGGGTTATTTGGAGAAGATTTTTTTGCTGGGGAAACAGGGGTTTGCTCTACATTAAATGCTATTAGAATGCAGGGGCAATTCTATGATAGGTATTTCAATAAATCTTTTTATTTCCTTTGTTTATCATTTGTAACATTTTGTTTTGAACATCAAACACTGCACTAAAATCTGAGCCATTTATCTTAAGACAATGATCTTTGCCATAACTAAGAGTACTGGACTGATATTTACAATTAATTTCTGACAACTTAAAACTTATTAGTGGTGCTGCTGTCTACAAATCAAATACTTCATCATAGAGTGTAATTATTAAATTAAAAGAATAAAGTTTCCCCTTCTCTTTCTTACCTTCAAACCAAAAACAGTTTTCACCTGGAAAGGGCACTCACTTGAAACAAAAACTAATTTTTAACTAGTTACCTTAAACCCAGTATGCTCTAAAATAGGAAAACAAGGCTTCTTAGAGTGGATACGATATTGAAAAGGTGTTAAAATTTCCTGGAGAAGTCTGTTTTCACCAACTTGCAAAAAGATAAAGAGTTGAATTCTTACCTATCTTTAAAAGGTCTTGCCTGTACCTTAAGAACACACTGTGGAAGGACCGTGTGCAGTCTTATGGCAGGGGGCAGTGCTTCAATAAATCTTACCTATAAGGAGGGGAAACTAGAATCAGCATAAAGCTGTAATTGGTAAAGTGGTAGGCACTCGTTTTAGCCAAGAGAGGGGGATATTTAATATTTTGTGAGGTTGTTTTGTCTCTGCTTAAATAAAAGTACAAAGTGGCCCTTGTTTTGTTTCCTTTTATCATGGTCTCAGAGTGACCTTGACTGACGTTGGTGTTCTACAGAATTGTTTATGGCCAGTAGGAGAATAGGGTGGCTTAGCTGTGAGTGCCAGTCCAGCTCTGAGTGTCAGAGGCTTTTCTTTACGTTATTCTGAACACGTAGTCCTTTTTCCCAACCAGACTGTGAGATGCTTGTTGCCAGAAATGATGGCACTTGCTTCTCCATCCTTGGCAAGGTCTTGCATGAGGCAATGCATGTAGGTATTTAGTAAATATTTGCTGATTGATTGGAGATCAGGAGGGCTGGGCTGGGACTTTCAGAGACCCTCAACTCATGCCCCTTTCTTTGTGCATGGTTAATTAACCTTCTTCTGACAAGTTTCTTCTAAGGCTGCATGTACAAGAAGTAGGCCTGTCTCAACTCCAGATAAAAGGTCTGGAGATTGGTTCTAGTTCTGGAGGCTCCATTAAGTGCCATGACCTGGGCGGGGAAGGTTGCAGTTAGCTTCCCTGGGCCTTTATTTCTGCATTTTAAAAAGAATGGGCTTAGATTCAATATCTAAAGGCCTTTCCAGCTCTGAAATTTTGGGAGAATGTTTTCTCTTGCATCTCTTCTGCCTTTAAAGAAAGTGCTAATGGGCACATGGCCACATATCATTGTAGAGGGGAATAATTACTCAAAAATGGTGCTATAGATGAGCTCTTTAAAACAAAAATCTTACACTATGTGTCAGTATTAGTTCCAAATGGGTTAAGGAGTTAAATGTAGACATCCATAAGACCTCCAAAAAGAAGAAAATAGTTTTTCTCTGGATAAGATAATATTTACAAAGTTACAATGATGCTAAAACCATGAAAAAGAAAATAGTATTAGATTTTGCAACATAAAAATAAAAAACTCTGTACTTAGAAATATTAACCAAGTTAGAAGGCAAAAACCAAACTAGGAAAATATTTTCAACAAATGGTTAACATCCTAAATATAATCCCGTCTCATTCCATCTATCTATTTCACTCAAATCTTGGCTGAAGACAGGGTATGAACTCAGCCAGGGAGGAAGTATGTAGCTCCATATATAGCTGGGAACAGCTGATTCTTCCAAAACCAAATTAGATGATTCTCTCTGAAGGCCTGAGAGACTACACAATAACTTCTCTCCAATCGTTCAAGAACAGAAAAATTATTGATATAACACTACTACCTAATATGTGTATAGAATTTCACAGTATGAGTTGGACTTTCATCCATTGTCTTATTTGATTCTCAAAGCTAGGTAATCATTACTCTACCTTTACAGATGATAAAACTGAGGCTTAGAAATGATAAGTAACTTTCCCCAAGATCATATCAGGAGCCAAATGTTAAAACCAACTCCAGACTTCAGATTGGGATTCTGCCTCAGTTTTGCTGTCTTTGTAAAGATTTGGATTACAGATTTTCTACATTGCCTTCCATATTTAAACCAATGATTTATGACAATACCATGCTCCATTCTTGAGGTGGGAGGGACCAGAAGAAAATAAAAACATTGAAATTTGGTTGGGTTGATGAAGGGAAAAATTCCTCCTCACCTTGATAGGATTTATTGGTATTATAATGTAATATCTAACTTGGATATTACATTTATCTTAATATTATATATAATTATACACATATTTGTTTTTTAAAAAACATTTCAATGTTATAAAACTTTACAGAGTGAATATAAAAAAGAGTTAATTTCTTTGTAATTTTCAGAATTGCTTACACTTGAGGTCTTGATTAAGTGGATCTTAAAATCAGCAGTTTTGGACTGTTGCCTCAGAAACATCCTAGGAAGTCTGCTCTTTTAATGTCTGTCATTCTTAGCTCTTAGGAGATGATCTGGTCCTTTAAAAGACATGTGTCTTTTTTATTCATTCTTTGGAGGCTTGAACTGAATGTCAGGTTTATTATACACCTTCCAGCTTCTGTCGTTTACCACTTCAACACTCAGTTCTCAGTGCGTACATTTCAATTCTGTCTATTCTTTTCCAAGTAGTTTTAACCACATTAAATAGTCCAAATTCTTCTCTATTCTTGGGAGGTTTTTACTGCTGCTGAGGTCTGAGCCACACCAGATTTTTATGATCTCGCCCTTATTCACATGAGCCATTACCACATGGAAATTGAATGGTCCAGGGTGCCTCCATATCAGAATACTATAGTTTTCCAGACAATCTGAAAGTTGAAAGGGCAGGACTTGTGTGGACCAGAAGATAGCTCAGGACCCTAAAGAAAAGAGCCGATTGTGAGCCATTCTAGAACCTAAGGGCCTTTGCCACTCATTGGGCACACGGCATGTCAATCCTCACTTCCCAGCCAATGAGCTTGAAGCTTGTGAAGAGCATTCATGGCCCTTTGTTGACTCTTTTTGGCCCCACCCCACCCCCTTACTCTGGTAGAGCATTGGTGGGCGGTCCCTGATATCCACCCCCTGTCAATCAGAGACGTTTCCCGTTGACAGACAGCTCCTCTGCTGCCCCGCCCACCTCACGTGGTGCCCAACTGTCAACGGCCTCCTCTCCTCGTCCACCATCTTGGCCTTCGACGCCACAGCCTGTTCGCTGAGTGGTTGAGGTACTAGCTGGTGCCATGTCTGACTCGGATGATGGAAACCCGGCCCCAGGTGGCCCGGAGAGTCCCGAGGGCGAGGTGGGAGCCTGGGTCAGGGAAGCTGGAGCTGAGGATGCTGTAATCTTCGACTCGGGGCCCCAAGGGGGCGGGGATGCCGCGGGAGTCTCAGGAGCTGTGGGAAGCCTGGGGGAGGAGCCTGAGGCAGTGGGAGCCCTGGAGGGCAGCAACAGTGAGGAAGATTCCGACATCGGGCCAGCTGATGAGGGGGAGGAGAACATGGAGCGGGGCCCGGACATGGTGGTAGACGCTCACCAGTTCCCCATGGTGGGCTTTCGCTTCATGTTCCTGAACCTCCTGCATGCCCTGCTGCACCGCCTGCACTACAACAACCACATCCTCGTGCGTCCGCGCGGCGTCCGCAGGATGGTCCGGCCCAGACATCAGAGGCCCGGCCGTGTGGCCCAGATCCGCGTGCTCTTGGTGCCCGAGGGCTCTGGAGAGAGGGTGGTAGCCATGGTGCCCCACGGCTCCAGAGAAAGGGTCGTAGCCATGGTGCCCCACGGTTCCAGAGAAAGGGTTGTAGCCATGGTGCATGAGCCCGAAGAGGGAACTGCAGGATCTGGAGGGGGGGTACCGGCCCTCCCAGAGCCTGAGGGCCAGGCCACAGTCCAGGAGCAGTCTGCTGCTGGGGAGATGGCAGAGGAGGCAGAGATGGCGGAGATGGCGGAGATGGCGGAGGAGCCTTTGCAGGAGGCCGAAGCCCCTGAAGGTGAGGAGGGTGAGGATCGGGCAGAGTGGGGACCAGGGCCGGGGGGCTCCATGGCGGGCGGGCAGCCTCCCAGCAGGCTGCGGCTGGGTGCAGCTGGCGCCCTGGCCCGTCAAGCTCACTCGGGTGGGTCGGGCCCTCAACACGCTGCAGGCCGATTGGGCCCACGGAGAAGCCCGACTCCATACCGACCTTCCCCGCCTAGAAAATAGGACGTTGCCCTCTCCCGACCTCTGCTAAGAGATTTGAGCTCGTCCGTGCAGTTCGTGGCCCACAGACGAATGCCCTTGGGTCCCAGGGGGCAGGTGTTCAGGAGCGAACCGGGAGGACAGGGGAGGGGAACCTGAGGTAAAAAAACAAGCAGATGGAATACCTCGTGCTTCGTTCATGGCTTCTGAAAGTCACCATAGAATTTGTCGCTGAGGCAAAAATATTTTCCCAGTAAAGCTGTGACCAGGACGCACAGAATGCCCCAGACCCGGGTGACTCTGATCCCTGCTTCTCTGAAAGGCCAGAAGTCAGCATCAGCACAGGTTTACCACAGAGAAATAATGTCACTGTGCAAACGATCAAGCAGCAGACATGTGAGGGCCATGAGAGTGTTGTAGCAACTAGGAGGAAGCTGCCTAACTTTTCCCAGTTACTTCCCTCCTCCTGCTTCTCCTGAGGGCGGAGCACTGTACGTCCCCATTCGTTATGAACTGGGATTTTCTTTTGTGAGGGTCTGATCCCAAAGTCTGTCTTATTCACCACTAAAGAAACAACTGAGGAAGAGGCCCAGGGTGCTGAAAGTAAGGAAGAAAAAGAGTTTAACAAAAACCAAGAAGGACCTGAAAAGGATGAGGACCCAGCAGAGAGCAGATCCGGAGAATCCAGGTATCTGTGTGTAGCTTTGAATATCACCCAGCCATTCCAGGCATGGACCTGTTACTCACAGCATTACTGGTTTTTAATTCTCCCAGTAAATTAAGAAAAAAGTTTAAAATTAGTTTTAAAATTCAATGTTATCTACTTAGACTGTTAATACAATACTAATACACCTAGTAATACAAAACACATTATGTACTGAAATATACTTCATGGCTTTTCATTTGTTCTTATGAGGTCTTCCGTCCTCTACCTGTAAAGGCTACTGACAAATGGAAAATGTCTCAGTACCCAAGGCCAATATTTGTTTAGAAAACAGTTACTAGATACAGCAGCTAAAGTAGCTGTGCTATGTACTAGTTAGTTGGGCCTTCATTGCTTGGCCACAGAAATGCAGTCTGATTATTATGCTAAGTGAAATAAGCCAGTTAGAGAAAGACAAATACCACATGATCTCACTGTGAGGTGCAATCTAATGAACAAAATAAACTGACAAACAGAATAGAAACAGAGGCATGGATACATGGAACAGACTGACGGCTGTCAGAGGGGAGGGGAGAAGGGAGAACTGGATGAAAGAAAGTGAAGGGATTATCCAAAGAACATATATGCATAACCCATAGACACAGAAAACAGGTGGTGATGGCCAGAGGGAAGGGGGGCAAGGGCTGCGTGGAGGTGGGCAAAAGGGGGAGGGGGTGAGGACATCTGTAATACTGTCAACAACAAAAAGAAAGTTAAAAAAAGAAACCAGTCTCCTATACTAACTAGGAGACAAGGACTACTTACAAATAGCAAAAAGTTAAGAGTTTCAAGTAGGACCACATTTAATGATTAATGCCTAAATGTTTGGTTGTAGATTTTTGTATTTTATGTGACAGTCAAAAGAAATGAAACCTAGTCATAGTATGATTATTGTTTATCACTGAATGGGTAATTAAGTCTCAAGGTTTATCTTATCTTTGAGTATATTTAAATAATTAAGTTTTTATCTCTTTTTGTGCACTTTCACTGCTGTGTATTTTATAACAGCCTCTCATATGGGAGGTATGGAAACAGGGTCTGGGAGGGTCAGGGGGTATTACTTGTGGAATGAGTACAGGCTTTTAAGGTGGACAGATTTGTTTAAATCCCATAATGGCCTCTCAAGGAGTAGAAAAAGCATTTATGACATTAGGCAAGAGGGAGACGAGGTTGGCATGATCACAAAAGCAGCCATGGGGTACAGGGGCACCCTATGTCCAAAGGTGCAGGTTAAAATTAGTGGATATTTGCTCCTCTCCCACACGTCCATGGAGACATTTGGTGCAGGCCAAAAGGTCCTTGATATTTAAATTCCGCTCTTCTGAAGATTGGAGCCCTGAGCCAACTACCTAACCCCATGTGCTATTACCAGCTTGGCTACCAAGGCAAGAAGGGTTACTATGGGCAATACGGCCACAATACAATTATTGGACCCATAAAACATGATGGTATTTTTTTTATGTATTAATCCTGTAAAACAGAAGTGTAAATAAACATTATGGGCTATTTGAACCCAAGATGTTTTCTAAGCATGGACATTCTGGATAGGACCAAATATCAAGGACCTTTTAGTATGGACCAAATGCCTCAATGGATCTTTTGCACAGAACCAAATGACTTGCCAGGCAGGTTACAAGAAGGAAACATGTTGTTCTTCTCTACTTGTTGAGATATAGCACACAAGTGCAGCAGATACACATAGGGCTATTTTCTTAGATTTAGAAAGTCATTGGAGCTGGTTAAAGCCTTGTGAGTGATAATTTTCTCTCATTTCATCCTGCAGTTTGGAGGACTAGAAAGAAGATGGACAAAGAAGAAAGAATTTGTTGTTCACTCTTTTTAGGTTTTTCATTTTCAGAAGTCCATGTTAATTGTATTAAACACTGATATCATTCCAAAGTGTACCCAAAAAGTATACTATCCAGTGATATCTAACTTTTATTTCTTATAGCTATATTTGACAGCATTTGTTTTAGTTAAAAATAAGCTTGTTTTAATTAATAAACTGAAATGCAGGCAGTTTACTTAAATAATCCTGACTCAAATCTCTCTTACCTCTCTTACCTCTTTGTTTTGAAAGGTATCACTCTCCATCACTTTGTAAGCCTGTTTAAATTATCTTATGGCAGCCAAAAATAAATTCAAATGTCAATTGAAAAAAAATTTTTGTAAAGAGAGACAGATGTCAAGCCTTTAGAGCTGCTCTGTACACTATGTTAGTCACTAGCTAGTCTGATTTGATATGTACTATTTAAAAAGTGCTACCATTCTCATTAATAAATTGTATACTTATTACCTGTTTAAGTGATAAAATATAGTAAGTTAAAATATACTATTGAAATCAATTTTGCCTGTTTCTTTTTTGATGCAGCTACAATAAAACTTAAAATTACACGTGACTTACATTATATGTCTGCTAGACAGAGAGACTCTAGAGCAGTTTAGAAGGAAACCTCATAGATGGCCCAGTGTGCCAGGAGGCCAGATGGCACTGCTGAGCCTGGACCCAGACACTGATTTGGAGCAGTGGTTCTCAAAGTTTGGTCCCCAAAACAACCTCATGAGCATCACCCAGGAATTCTTAGGCTCCCCCCAAAACCTGCTCAATCAGAAACTCTGAGGGTAGGCCCAGCAACCTGGGTTTTAACAAGCTCTGCAGGGGACTCTGGTGCAGCTCAGGTTTGAGAAGCACTAATTTAAAGCCACAGGGGAAGAAGCTGAAACTTACCAACGGTAGGACCAGCCTTAACTCACTGACTTGGGACTGTTGCAGGTAAACTGAACAGGGTGGCAAGGGCTGAACTGGAGAGACTAGAACTCGCAGGGGCTGAAAGGCAGGGGGCCTAAGAGTGGGTGACGGCAGCAGAAAATGCATTAGGGGAAAAAGTTGATTCCAGAAGGATACAAACATAATACCACATATATAAAGTCTAAAACACATGCAAAAACGATCACCAGATATTGATTGTGGATACAAATAGAAAGTATAAGTCATGCATGTAAAAAGTGTACACAAGTGTAGCATACAGAAACTCATGCTTGGATAGATAAACACATTAAGGGTGGTGGTTACCTTTTGGGAAAAGAAAGGGAGGGGAAATTTTATTGGGGAGGGCTCCACTGTGCACTTTGACTGTATTTGTAATGTTACATTTTTTATGCTGGGTGGCAGGTAAATAAATGTTTATAGTAGTATTCTCTATAATTTTGTGCAGATATGAAATATTTCATAATAAATAATGAGGAAGATAAAAAGAGGAAAGGGAAAAAATAGACTCAATCTCTGGAATCTGCTTAAGGAAAAATAAGATAAAGTCATAGTTGACCTCAGTTAGAGGATCAGAGAAGGGGATGGAACCAGGGGTTTGAGACCTGACAGCCTCATTTCTGTATTTAGTTAAGGTGCCATAGGTGCCTCCTTGGTAGCACTGATACCTTTTCTCATACAGTATTCTCTGGTAAGTTACTAGTGTTGACATTTTTAAAATGAATTTCATGTAGTATTCCTTTATGGCTTGAACCACATGGTTAGACAGAAGGTAAAGGGCTCCTTTTCACCATTATTTGAACCAAAAGAGCAGGCCAAGTAGCATGATTTGAGCACCTTGAAATTGATTATTTGTTAGTTTTTATTTTTTTCTATAGTGGTATCTCATTGTTTTTTCATTTGTATTTCCCTGATGACATGTGATGTGGAGCATTATTTTCATATGCTAATTTGTCACCTGTATATCTTCTTTGGTGAGGTATCTGTGAAGGTCTTTGGCCAACTGTAAATTGGGTTTGTTTTCTTATTCTTGAGTTTTAGGAGTGCTTTGTGTATTTTGGATAACATTCCTTTATCAGACATTGTCTTTTGTTAGCCATGACTTTTTTGTTTTAAAACTATGTTTTTATTGATTTGAGACAGAGAGGAAGGGGGAGAGAGAGAGAGACAGAGAGAGAGAGACAGAGAGAGACACACACACACAGAGAGAGAGAGAGAGAGAGAGAAACACTGATGAGAAACATCAACATCGATTGGCTGCCTCCTCCATGCCCCCCACCAGGGATTGAGCCCACAACCTGGGCATGTAGCCTAACTGGGAATCAAAGCAGCAACCTCCTGGTGCATGGTTCAATGCTCAACCACTCAGCAACACCAGCTTGGCTGGCCATGACTTTTTATTCAGAATGGTATGGCAATATATTTTACTCCATATATTTTTCACCTCTTTTCTATCTATCCCAGTTGTCCCTAGCCTAGTTCAGGTAATAGTGTCTGACCTAGAACTTTGAAGATTCCCCTAACAGGTCTTTGCCCTGAATTCATCCATTAAGG